TGGCTGTGCCAGAAGGCCTGGGGGCCGGATGGGGGCTCGCACCAGTGGAGGTGGCTTGTGGGGTGATTGACCTTGCCCCCGTCATCTTGAACATTTTTAGGTTTTATGTACAAGGTTTGTTGTTTAGATTTGATTTTTAATGTATTATTTAACTATTTATGGGGTTTTTTAATTGTTGATGGGGTTTCTGATTTTCACTGTGAGCAGCCCAGAGTCACCAACTGGGGGGAGATGGGCTGCATTAAATTTAATAATAAATAAATAAATAAATAAAAAGAGGGAGGGAAGGAAGCAACATTCTGTTATGATAGCTGTTCTAATAAAAGTAGCTTTAGGTCTGCAGTGTGTCTGTTCTTCCTTTTGTTTACTGACAACTATGTCATTTACAGTAGATGTTAATATTTTTTGGACCTGTGTGTTATAATTTATACTAGTAGTCTTTTTAATTTGGTCATGGAATAAATCACAAGCTTCTATTAATCCTCAATATTTGCATCCTTCAAGTACTAGGGGTCTAATGGCTTTTCTATTCATTAGTAGTAGCCCATTTTTTCTTATACCCTTGCCTACTTTAATTGCTAATATAGGACATTTGTCCAGGCCAATTTTCAAATTTTCCTATTACTGTTGCTGTTAACAGTACATCCTGATTGTTAGAATGTTTGCCCTTCTGGTAAAGTTAAGTTCTAAATTCCTCTTTCCACTTCCTGAGGACTTCCTGCTGCCAGAATGTTAGGTTCTATCCCAAAACAGAGATTTAACAAGGAAAACAAAATCTCCTCTGCGTTGGCTATTTATTTTAAAAATGCGTGGAGCTTTTCTGTACTTATTTAAGCATAATTTATTTTCTTGGTCCTTTCCCAAGCTAAAGTTTACTTTTTCTCCACAGAGATCATATGGAAGCGTTTGGTATTTCTTTATTCCTCTCATATTACTTAACTGTTGAGCATAATGAATAATTTAAAAATATGATTTCCAAGTTACTTCCCATTTGCATTGGCTGAGACAGATAGGAAGGTAAGTGTAGCCAAGTCCCATAGCCAGAGGCTTATATGGCTTGATGCACAGCAATAAAATTCCAAAATGTAAAATGTAGGCTTGCAATTCCAAAAGAATATGATTACACAGTTAGAGCCACAAAATGTATCAAGCAGAGATGCAGGATGGATTACTCCACGGATGGCTGCTGTGCTCCCCCCCCCTTTTTAAATAGTTGTTTTGATTTGATAAATAATACAGTAAATTAACATAGCTTTATACATCTCCCCTCTTCCGTTCATTAGCAACTCTCCTTCATTTTAAGATGAGCAAAGAAAGGTATAATAAAGCTGTGCCTTGTAGATTTCATTCTGATCTTCTTCCTAATAAATGTATGAATCTGTAAGTAGATCATCATATTTTTCAATTTTAAACCCACACATTCTATAAGTATTGTAACATCACTATTGGTCCTCTGTTTTGTGATGTACCTATTTGATTAAACCACTTCACCATTATACTAAACCAATAGGTAATGACTAAGGATGCACAATCTATATAGCAAATCACATGTGTGAATCTAGTCATTGTCTATTAACAAATACTTATTTTCAGCATCAAAGTGCCAGGATATAAAAAGGAACGAGTGAGAATGTTTTACGTGTTCTAACACAAATGACTGTCTTTCAATGAAACACTGACGGCAGGGGGAAAAAAAATCAAACGGAATTAATTCTCAGGAACATCTTTCAGAAATGAATTTTTTTCCTTTAAAAGAAAAGAAGTTAAAAAACAGAAATTTCCAAAATGAGATACCTGGGAATGGACAAACATAATATTGGCAAAATCATGCAGCAGGAAGATGAACAGCCAATTTCTTAAGTCATAACCACTCTACTCCAGCCTATTTCTGCATACCTGTAAAATAGCACAGCATCCCCTGTCCAACTCCCTATGCATTTAGCAGTGGACTGTTACACACAGTCCTACTTCTAAAGAGAATCCCACTTGATAGATGGGATTCTTCAGATGACTGGCAAGTGATCAGTCATCTGCTGACAGAAGAACTAAGGTCAGCTCCCTCCCTGCCCATTAGAAGAAATACAACCCTGTCAGTTAGTGTGTTTATACAATGTCTAGCTGGAGCAGGGCATAAGTAACCATGATTAAGCCCCTATATAACTGAAGCAGTATTCTTTGCTCCATATAGAAGAGAATTTGAACACGATTTAAATTCCAATTGTTTTTTTAAAGACAGCAAAAATGTAGTTTGAGTTATACAATGCTCCCAGCAATATTAATTTGTCCAAAAGAGCTCTATTTTAGAGAAAAATATATATACAACAGTTGCAATTACAATTTTGCTACTTGAGTGTTTTTTTAAAAATCATATTTAAAATTATTTATACTACAGTACATTTGATCCTAGCCAAAAGGCTGAGAAGCAATTAAAAAAAAAAGGATTTACATTTACAGAAAGGTGAATAACAGTTATTATTATTATTACATTGCACAAAAAGAGGCTTACACATCTTTGGATACTGTCTACAGCAAAGCCTCCGTAACAAGTTGAATTCTAAAGATATTCAGTATTTCCCTCCAGTTTTTGACCAAACACACCCTCTTCTTTTTCCCTTCTGTATATTGTCATCTTCTTCACTATTGCAGGTCATCTGGTATATGTGACAGCTGAACATCCTGTGGGGCTTCTGTTGTATGTGCAACACTATATTTCTATCAAAGTAAACTTCATGGTTGTACGTCTGCATTAAGAGAACAAGAAACATAATTTTCACTTCAAGTAATGGAGTGAGAATGTAGGCCCTTTGTGATGATAAAACCCTTATATATGATATCACCTTCCAGGTTATTGGTAAGTGCTTCAGACAATAATTTGATTTTAAAACACTGTTGGAAGATATTCTAAACTGAGTGCACTGTTCTAAAACGGACAAGTCAACCTAAAACCCATTTCTGTTGGTTTAGCTTTTATGTTACTACTGTAGATTTATATCCCATCTTTCCTTCAACAAGCAGAAGATCCCTATTTATTTCCATTACAACGTTGGGCTGGTAGGTCAAGCGAAGAGATGGAGACTGAGCTACACTAAGGACATCCTGTTGCATTTAAGCATGGATTTAACCTGGGGCATCCTCAGTCTTACTATGACACAGTATATATTTATGTGAAACTTGAGCAAAACGTCAGCCTTATGTCTTCCAAGTAACCTTAAAGCTAACTTTACTCGATCTTATATGGTAGCATTCCACAATACATTACTTGCTGTTTGGTGACGCTAAGGGAAGTGTTTCTCTATCAAATCCTTTTTCCAAAGAATTAAGTCAGAGAGGGAACCATCCACATAACTGAAACTTCCATGTTTGAAATGGACAATGGCCAAGACATCCTGAAGGATCTAAAATTCCATCTTAAAGGAAAAGTTTGAGAGATGTGGACACATTCTTATGAATGTCGTCCCAATGTCTCACAAATCCTCAGTAACTGAGCTGTGAACAGATCTACTTCCATGGGAATCTAAGAATGGCAGCAAATTCTAGCATTGGAAGTAGCAGAAAATAGGCAGAGCACGTGAGGTGTCATTTCCTACTATGGTTTCATGATTTCTAAAAAAGTCAGAGGCTAGATAAGGAGGAAAGTGAGGGAAAGGTAGAGTTTCTTAGCTACTAAAACTAAGAAGCTGCTTGAGTTTGCTGCCTTGAACCAAGGTATCTTAGAACGATACTCAAGGCTCAAATCTTCATTAAGTGTATCCACCGCACCCCCAACGGAGCTCTACTCTCTTCACTGTAATCAGAAATGTGTAAAATTAAGCATGAAGGTAACTAACTCTTGATTAATATGTACTTCATGAATCTAACTTTTAGGAACAAAAAATATCTTGTTAAACATTGGTAAATGGAATTTACGTCTCCCTGATATCTTTTCTTTTGGGTGGTAATTAGACCTTCAAGAATTCCAAACTTTGCTTCTTTTTAAAAATAATTTTTCCAGTTTTTCTCACGTATACGATACTGAAACAGCAAATATTTCTCGTATAATCCTTGTACCCATGAAGAATGAACAATTCAACCCATTGCTGTAACCCTGAGGCACTCTAGATACATTATCACAATAATTTCCAGAATTCCCAACCAGCAAGGCAGCAGGCTGGGACGACCTGACTAAAGTTATCAGTATACATACACGAACTGGAATAGTCATAAGCCCAACTTCTCCCTGACTTCAGCTGTGACATATTTTCTTCCATGTTAAAGCTTAACAGCCTGTTTTTCCCTTTTCTTCAAACTGGGGGCCTTAAAAAAAAACCAATGTCATTTACACATCTATCCAGTTAGAAAAAAACTGTCCTTCAATTTTGTTTTGAAAAAGGTACTTAAAGCTTATTTTTACATTGGAAAGGTTCTTTGGAGGGAAGTGTGTGGATCACAGCTTCGAAACAACCAGCCAATTTGTGCTTTAAATCTACAAAATGCAGCTCTGGAAAGAAATCAGATGCATCCAACAGGAATGCACTGGGTGTACTTCCAGACTGCTGCACTATTGTTTTTCTATAACTCCTTTATAGCTTTGTCCCCCTGCTTGGCAACTTTTACCTTTAGGATGGGAATGGCATACATAAATGGCTCAATAGTAGCCCGTTGTTAGAGCTAAGTTAGAGTAGCATGTTGATAGTAGGAACATCAGAAATACCTAAATTATACTCACCACATCCCAGGACTCCACAAAAGGAAAACTCTTCAACCGAGTACCCTGTTCATTACAATGGAAGTCAAGACGAGCTGCCCCATCAACTCCTATCTGAGTAACAGCCACAACAGACAGCAAGTTCAGTTCATCTTCATAGTCAACAATTTTGAAGGTCTTACCCCCAAAAAACAAAAAAAGAGGTTTGGTTAAATCCAACACTGGGCATATCAGTCACATTTTTAAGTATCTCCTACTTTCAATACAAATTTGAAACAGAAAAATAAGTAAAAGTTCCCTAAATTTTTAAAAGCTTACTTTCATTCACTGTTACTGGTCATAGCCTACATTTTCAATCCAGTTTACTTGGGATCTCTAGAATCCTTTCCACAGTTGTGGAAGTAGTAGTACTTCCAGTAGTACAGTCCAGTAGTCCAAATAGCAGCTCCAGTTGCCTCACTCTAGCAGTCTGTGCGTAGAAAGGAGAATGGGTGCAGGTAGGATCCCTCCATTTCAACAAAGAAGCTATTGGAGGCTATACTCATCTGAGCTTCTACTTGTACATTATCAGGTTTATTTATTTAATGGACTTCTATCCTACCTTTCATTCAGAAGCTCAACATGGCACCCGTAGTGCTCCCTCCTCTTATTTTTTCTTCACAACCACCATCTTGTGAGGTAGGTCTGAAGTCACCTAGTGAGCGTCCAACGACTGAGCATAGGATAGAATGTAGATCTCCCTGATCCTAGTTCAACACCTCACCATTACACCACACTGGCTCCCTTATTATATTTGTGATAACTATTCACAAATAGTTGTGATAACTATTCACAAATACTTCACAAATCCAATTAAGCTAACAGATGGTCACCAAACCACTGACATCATCAGGATTTAGTTTATAACGTTCACTGCACTGTAGCTTAAGATACTGAGAGATGTTTTGGGAAAAACAACAATGTAGCAACTGCCCAGATGAATACTGTACGTAGCTGTTAGAATGAGACTGCCACATAGACAACTCATACAGGAATCCCATGTCTTAAGATCACACATAATTTTATTCTAAAATGGGACTGAAGACATTTTTGAATTTATGTCCCCAGATTAAACCCAGGAAAGTATTTTTAAATAACTTCCTTCTGAAAAATGTAATTTAAGGCTGTAAAACCAAACAAAAGGTATGCTTTGGGTAAAACTAAGGGTCTTGCTTCTCTGCGGTCTCTTTTTAAATTTGGTAATCAAATATAAATGAACTACAGATTTTAAAAGCCACAAACAGTCCTTGCCATGTTTTCACCCCCCCAACTATATTCATTTCCATGGAAACAAGGCTGGAAATGGTTTCCAGAAGCTGAGGAATTAGAATTCTTGTGGCTGTGTCATCTCAGCTACAGTTCCTGATAGGTGAAAAATGGTTTCCAAAAATAGTTGTTAATGATACAGGGACACATTGCTCAACTGAGATCTAGAGTTTTCTTTGCATTATTTACCATCTTGTTGTGAACTGCATGTTCTCCAAGAGCATAGAAATGGTCCCAGGCAAGGCCTTGTGAGATTTAAGCGGATAATGAACAGCCAGGTTGATTCTTCATATCTCTTTCCAGGATTCCTAAGGCAGTAACCCAGTTTAAATTTCTAGAATTTAACAGGCCTTGCATTCTTTAAGTGCTATTAACACGATAATAATTCACAGATTCCTCACAGATGAAAGGTCAACAATAAAATAAAAATACTCGCTTTATCTCTCTCTCCTGCAAAAGAGAATAGTCCTCAACCTATTCCTGGATATGTCAGTTAAGAAATCATGACATGTGAACATGATTGACATTTTGTAGGCCTGTGCAGACTCTGCCCAGCCAACATGGGTCATTTCAGTGGCTGCCTTATTCAGGATCAAATGTTTGCCAACCATCTGTGAACTGAATTTACCTCTTGCTCAGGATCATCATCCAATAATTTAAAACGCTTCTTCACTATTCGGCCAGATGCTGTTACTGTTACAGGGTTGTTCACCTTTGATATTAAAAATACGGAGAGAAGAGAGGTTTTTGTGTTGTTCTGACAAATGATCAACTAAGGACAATACTAACTGAAGCACTGGTTTTAAGTCTTCCTGAACACAGATATTAAATAGGCTTTTAACTGAGTTGCTGCTGCTAAAGGATAAATTGGCCCAAAGATGTAACATATCAAAAGAACTGAAAAAAAATCACCCTGCACCTAGAAAATATAGCTGCCTTATTGTCAGCACCACTGCATAAAACTATTCAAGAGAATAATGGAGTCAACAGTAGGAGGAAAATATAGAATAATAATCCCTAAACTCTAGAGATGTAGTTTTCTTCAGCTTGATGGATGTTTATAGGACAAAGAGTAATATAGCTTTCTCTTGAGTTAAAAATACTTTGCTGTTCATGAAAAATCTCCTTTCAAACAGTATTAAATCGTTTTAAAATTGCCTCTTTATTAGACTTCTCTTAACCTAGAGTGCAAAACAAGGATTGATGAATGGCAACTCCCATCAGCTCCAGCCAGAATGGCTGGTAGGAAAGGATCCTGAAAGTTGTGATTCACCAATATCCAGAAGGCTGCAGGTTATCCACCTCTGCCTTTTCCTTTTTCTCAGAAACAATATGAAGTGATTCCAAGGGACAATCTGGTTATACAGGATAAAATGCTGTTTTGTCTTGGGATTAATTCAAAAGTGCCTCATGACATCAAATTCTGGTCCAGTACAAATCCCTCCATTCCTGCCATCAATCAATCAGTAACTCGTAGACAGGAAGTAGAACTCTAGGAAACAAAGAAGCAAACCATTGTTCTAAAATTATTTTTCTGACTGCTAAAAGGCTCATTACTCCTTCTAGTGGTTTTGAACAAATTTATTTGAATCTTCCCACATAGCTTTCAAAACTTTCTAGCCGTGAGTTCTAGAAGCTCTTTTGTTTTCAATTAGAAAATTAATATTCATCTTTTTTTCTCTCCAAACCCATCTTAATTCTACAAGGGAACATACATAAAATGATAAACATTGCAACAAAGTAATACTTGAGAGCTCTGTTCCTTTCTGATGCTGGCAATTTATTCACTAGATCAGTGTTTCTCAAACTTGGCAACTTTCAGATGTATGGACTTCAATTCCCAGAATTCCCAGCCAGCAAGCTGGCTGGGGAATTCTGGGAGCTGAAGTCCACACATCTGAGGCAATGACAGCTTAAATCTTCTCCATTAGGAGAGATTTCTTTTATAGTTTCACTAATTTTCAAAACTGCCTAGCTTCTCTCTAACAAACTGACCTTGTAGATGGGTCAATAAGCTGCATATAAACCTAGAGCTCAGAGAAGTAGCAGGCCTTCAAATATTAAATTATCAATATTTCATCATGAGCTTCAACACCATGTTCTTGGAAATCTGTTTCTATATCTCATTTTTCAGACGGCTTGCAAACATTTTATGACTGGGCTCACGCTTGCTATTAAGCCATATGGATTGTTTGATGCTGGTACCGCAGATTGTGCAAGGGCAGCCATCGTCATTAGGATGTTTTGGTTTAGCATGTTTTACGAATCCAGCCAACTGTGATCTATTTAATAAACTATGATTATACATGTAATGTTTGACTCAGGCCTCAGGGACAGAAACTCTCCCAATGAAATATATTTTCCTTAAGGAATAATTATTTCAACCGGTTTTCTTTTTATAACCTTACATTATTTTCCCTGTTGGCTTCTATGATAAAATCTTCAGTAACTTCTTGCTGCTTTGCATTTTCAGTTTCCTTCAACTTCAGGACTCTGTGGAAAAAAAAACCCCATGGGGGCCATATTCTCAAGAATGGGGAAAGCAGAAAGTACTTTTCCCCTAAACACCAATTTTGCTGTTTTTACTCCTTATAGAAAATGAAGTTATGGTTGTTTGAACAAGCCACTGCATGATGGAGCCAAATACTGCTATTTTTCAAGAAGAATCTTTTAAAATAGCTAGATGCCTCTCCAGAACAGCATGCATATAGTATATATGGAAGAGTATTCATTCTTTAACCCCTGGACCTGCCATTTAAAAGGGTCATATAGTGGGATATGAGAAATGCTTCAGCCAAAGAGCCGCTGCCAAGAAGGTAATACTGATCTACCTAAGACATGGTCTCACTCAGGATAAGCCCTATGGCTTGGGACCAGGTTATTTATGGGACTGTCTCTCCCCAGTGGTATCTACCTGTCCTGTTAGATCTGGCAGGATAGGCATGCTCTGGGTCCTGTCCATGAGAGCGCACCATCTGGCAGGACCAGGAACAGAGCCTTTCCTGTCAAGGCACCTGCCCTCTGCAATTTCATACCCCCAGAGAACAGACTCACCCCGACCCTGCTGGCCTTTTGCAAGGCCTTAAAGACCTGGTTTTGTCATCAAAACTATCATACAAGCCCTGAAATAGCTTGCCCATTCCTTATTATCCCAGTGTGGCTCTAATTCACCGGTTCCCACCCCAACCCCATGGTATAACTTTTAGCTTTAGTTAATCAGATATTCAATCTGAGCAGCCAATCCCACAGAGAACTAGCACATTACTTTCATCCTGATGCAAGCTAGTTTTCAGCAGGCACGTACCTAATTAAATTTGGACCCACATGTAGCATCCTTCCAGAACTGTCAGGGTGGAAAGATATCCTGTCAGGTTCCAATGAGCAACATTTCATATCCTGTATGCCATTCTTTGCCTAAATTGATGGAATAAAAAGTTTAAATCTAAACGAAGACTGAAGACAGCAAAAGCTGAGAAGGTCTATTATCTGCACATTCCAATATTCTTACAGGACTGTGGGAATTATGCATACAGAAGGTTGTTCCATTTTAGGAATCTCAACACATTTTCGTAGCCCAAACCCACAATTTCACTGATTCTTATCAGCAATTATTTAGACTTCTTTGGTGTTCCAATATGTTTAAAAAATCTTTAGAATGTTTTGTTGGCTCTGCTTCTGGAGCTGTTGCTCCCAGTTGGTCCTGTTCCAAACTCACTAAGCTTTAAATTCCTTATTGGTCAGAATTAAGGAACTATGATGGATGGGCAGAGGGAGTTCTGCAAAGATCTGAGGAACTAAACTGAAGTTAGTGGAAGGCTATATTTTTATGTGATTTATCTAAGGAGAGGCTATAGACATCTGAGAATGCAATTCTGAATTGGAATGAGATCAACTGAGAAGATTTAAATTCTCTCTTTAACATTAAAAGTCTATTCACACTTTCCCAGGAATACGCTCAACTAAATTCAGTGGGACGTACTTCTGACTATATATGGATAAGTAGATGAATTACAGATGGGGAGGGGGGATGTAGATCAAAATCATAATTGTTGGCCCTGCCCACTTTGCTTTTGGATGTACCCCTCAATGGGATATGGCCTTTCAGGATCTTTCTCAGATTGAAGTTCAAAAATTCCTCAACTGGATCATGTATCATTTCAATATTAAGATGATGCTATTTGGACATTAACTTTCAATATTATGTTGCCAATCTAAATAAAACTGTCTGGTGATAGGCACAATCTGTGAACTCCAGGTGAAAAACACTAACATTTTGGTTCTATTCTCATTCAGGAGGGAAACATGTAATTCGTTACATTAGAACGTTACCAAAGTATGGTCTTTTAAAGAACAAACATGGAAGATTCCTTCTTGACTTTTCTTGTTAGGTGTAATGATATAATGCCAAGGATATCCTCCAATTTGAAATGCACTCTCGAGGGATGAGACTTCAAAAAGAAGGTCTGGAGTATCTGTGAAGATAACTGAATATTAAAAAACATATTCACATGAACAGCTTTATCATTTCACTTGTTCTTCTCCTTGTTCAATCAAAATAAAACCTTCCATTGAATTTGCACTAAATGCAGAAAAATGCAATTCCCCAGTTTATAACGCAGTGATGATTACAAAGCATGCTACTTTGCATTCAATTAGCAGAATTTAAAATGAGTATCTGAGTAACTTAATCAACAGCACAAGGAATCAATTTTTCCCTTAAGTATTATAAAGCGACATTACAAATTACACACAGTAATAGAAACTTTAGCATTATTAGAAAACCAGTTAGGCCATCTGGACATATGTACACTACAGACACCAACTGATTTAACCATTAATCACATCTAACACATTTTCAGCACATCATTCTAATGCTTCTAGGTTTTCAGGGGGAAGTCATGATAGCTGAACTGATATAAAACTGGTTTATACTTGAATGAAGGGTTCCTTCATTGGCATTAATTATGAAGAATATTGGGTAATCCTAAGTCTGTGGTCAAAAACATTCAAAACTTTTGCTAAGCTAAGCCCATAGCAAATATTTCTATTGATAACCAAAGTGTATATTTGAATGCAGATATAAATCTGGGTTAATAAAAATGTAAACAAAATTATAATATACTTCTTAATTTTACTGAACACACTAAATTCTCAGAAAGTCTTGAGGCCCAAGAATAAAAACATATTGCTGTAAGGCCTCCTGTTGCCATGATTCTACTGAAGCAAATTTACTTCAGAGGAATAACAGCACTATCTGATTCAAATTCCAAAGATATTTGCAAGTGGGGTTTCATGCTTTGCCTTGTTTAGTTAAACAGTGCTTTGCTGAAGAAGCCATAATGGCCTGAGTCATGCAATCTGGTAAGCCATAAACCATAGTTAATGAAATATAATAGTAGGTGTACACATCATATTAAGCCAAACTCAAACCATATTATGGCTTAGTAGAGTATGTAAAATCCAGGGACTGTGAAATAGAATGGAAGTAGTGACATCATTCTGCATTATTCAATGCATCCTTTTCAAGTAACTAACACCATTGAAACGTTATTTAACAATGGAATTTCCCTGATATTTTCCTGAAAGGTGTCTCCATCTGGTCAGAATAGTTGTTTGTTTTTTTATTTAATCAAATTTCTCCCCCGCCCATCTCCCCCCAATGGGGGAGTCTGG